TATTTGTCCTTCTCTGCCTGACTTATTTCGCTCAGCATAACCCCCTCAAGGTCCAAAAGATATAAATTTTAAATCTATCAAAAGTACTAGAGGATCCTTATGAACTTAAGGTAGAGCTTCTTAAGAAACAAAAATCAAAAACCACAAAGAAAAACAAATAATAGGATTGATTATGTCAAATGACAAAGTATTATACCAAAAAATACTATAAGCAGAATTAAAATAAAAACCAAAAACTAGGAGAAAAATATATCTAACATGGTGGTTCAGTCCATTAAGCGGCCAACTTAGGCTCAGGTCATGATCTCACAGTTCATCAGTTCAAGCCTCACATCAGGCCCTGTGCCTGGAGCCTGAAACCAGCTTCGGATTCTGTCTCTTCCTCTCTTTCTCCTTCTCCCTCTTTCTTTCTCTCTCTCTCTCTCTGCCCCACCCCCATTCATGCTGTCTTTCTCAAAATAAGCATTAAAAAAGTTTTTAAAAAAATATACATGTCTAACACGCATAAGGATCTATACAAAATATATTTAAAAATTCCTACAAGGGAAATGCCAAATTTGAAAACGTGCCAATGCCAAATGGGACTAGCAGAAGGAATTTACCCAAGGGATATAGGAGTGCTGATGCATAGGAGCACATGTACCCCAAAGTTCATAGCAGCACTCTCAACAATAGCCAAAACATGGAAAGAGCCTAAGTGTCCATCAACGGATGAATGGATCAAGAAGATGGAGTTTATCTATACCATGGAATACTACATGACAATGGGAAAGAATGAAATCTGGCCATGTGTAGCAACATGGATGGACCTTGAGGGTGTTAGGCTGAGGGAAATAAGTCAAGCAGAGGAGGACAAATATCATATGTTTGCACGTATAGGAGGATTAGGAGGAACTTAACGGAGGACCATGGGGGAGAAGAAGGGGCGGAAGAGTGGGGGAGAGGGAGAGAGGCAAACCATGAGAGACTCTTGAATGCTGAGAACAAACTGAGGACTGATGGGTGTGGGGAGGGAGGGGGGAGATGGGCATGGAGGAGGGCACTTGTGGGGACGAGCACTGGGTATTATATGGAAACCAACTTGACAATAAACTATTTGTTAAAAAAGCAAACAAACAAACAAACAAATGGAACTAGCAGAAAGTAACTTGTAAGGGGAGGTGAGGGGCAAAATGTTGGTGGAGACTTCAGGTTCACTTTATATTCATACTACAATAAAGTTTAAATTCTTTAAAAAATGTATGTTAATATTCTACAAGTATAATTAAAACAAATTTTTAAAACACATATCATAGATGTCTACTTTCCACACTTCTCTCAAAAATAAATCAGGGGTGAGAGTGCCTGGGTGGCTCAGTCAGTTAAGCGTCCGACTTTGGCTCAGGTCATGATCTCACGGTTTGTGGGTTCAAGCCCTGTATCAGGCTCTCTGGTGACAGCATAGAGTCTGGAGCCTGCTTTGGATTCTGTGTCTCCTTTTCTCTCTACCCCTTCCCCACTCACATTCTTGGGGTGGGGGTGGGGGTCTCTCAAAAAATAAACATTAAAAAAAATTTAATAATAGTAATAAAAATAAATAAATCAGGGGCACCTGGGAGGCTCAGTCGATTGAGTATCAGACTCTTGACGTCAGTTCAGGTCACGATCCCACGGGATCAAGCTCCACACTGGGCCCCATACTGAGCATAGAGACTGCCTAGCATTCTCTCTCTCTCTCCATCTGCCCCTCTCCTCCATGCACGCTCTTGCTCGCTCTCTCGCGCGCGCTCTCTCTCTCTCTCTTTCTCAAATAAGTAGTGTTTCTTCATTGAAAACACTACCCAAGAAACTCATGGTCAGAAATATGATTTTAAAGAATCCATATACTTTAGTCAAACTCAAACATGGTATTTAGAAATACCACTGGTAGTCTCATCTTAATAAAGATAGACCTAGGGTAACAATAAGCAGCACAGAAAATACACAGAGCCAGAATCTTTACAGTTCCATCTCAGAAATAACAATAGTACAGCAAATTCAGAAATTGCAATATTTTACTAGCAATGTTAGAAATTCTCTCCAGGTCTAACTTTAGCTCAAGAAGTAAAAATTTATTTTCATGATTTTTTTTTAAAGTGTTTTTTTTAATGTTTTATCTATCTCCAGGAGAGAGAGAGAGAGAGACAGCGCGAGCAGGGGAGGGCCAGAGAGAGAGGGAGCCACAGACCGAAACAGGCTCCAGGCTCCGAGCTGGCAGCCAGCACAGAGCCCGACGCGGGGCTCGAACCCACGAACCGCGAGATCACGACCCAAGCGAAAGTCGGACGCTCAACCGACCAAGCCACCCAGGCGCCCCCATGATTTTTTTTTAAAGTAAGCTCTATGGCCAATGTGGGGACTGAACTCACAACCCAGAGATCAAGAGTCACATGCTCTACCAACTGAGCCAGCTAGGCACCCCTGCTTTTTCATGAGTAATCTAGACTGTGAGGTAGGTGACAAGTAATTACTGTTTGAATGACTTCTATTTCAAGATCAAAGAGGGATGCAAATCTTTTTCTTTTTTCAAGTAATATTTCTTAAAATAATGGAGTCATTCATTATCCATAATTCTTCCAATAATAACAAAAGCTAACATTTAGTGAGTATTTACCACATGTTGGGCATGATGCTAAAAATTTCATAAGATCTAATTTAATATTTAAAAGCCTCCCTTGGAACACCTGAGTTGTTCAGTCGGTTAAGCATCTGACTTTGACTCAGGTCATGATCTCACAGTTCTTGGGTTCAAGCCCCGAGTCGGACTCTGCTGACAGGTCAGAGCCTGGAGCCTGCTTTGGATTCTGTCTCCCTATCTCTCTGCCCCTCCCCCACTTGCATTGTGTCTCCGTGTGTGTGTGTCTCTCTCTCTAAAAAATAAACACTTTTAAAAATTTGTAAAAGCCTCCCATAACACAGGTCCAGTCATTATCTCCATTTTAGAGATGAAGAAAGTGAGGCCTTTAGCTGTTCGGTGACATCTCAAGTGGTAAGGTCAAGATATGAATTAGGGCACCTA